TGGTTCAAAGGGGAGTTACAAAGGGGTCTCACACTAACGGTCTCGTCCACTGTCACACAGTACCTCGGCCTCAACATCCGGGAAGAAGAAAATGCAATCTACCTTAGTGCCGCGAAATACGCCGACACCATCGCCAAGCGTTTCGCACTCACGCCGACCGTCATCTCCACACCATACCGCTACACGGCAGGAAACCACAAGGAAGGCTTCGCTCTACTCAAGCCCGCCGGCATACGCGACTACCAGAGGAAGCTGGGATGCCTCCTCTTCGCAGCTGCCACCTGCCGCCCGGACCTATCGTACTCTGCAAATCAACTCGCCACCTACCTCAAGAAACCTGAAGCGGAACATCTGGCGGAGCTCGACCGCGCTCTTCGCTACCTCGTCAGCACCCCGACAATTGGCCTGACCTACCATAAAAACACGGCTACAGTGCCTAAATTAATCGGCTACGTCGACGCCGATCACGCCGGCGACTCCGACAACAGGCGCTCCCGCACCGGCTACATCTACCGCTTCGAGCCTATCGGTCCTATCTCATGGCAGTCGAGCAAACTGTCAGAGGTCCACTGGTGATCCCCGATTGATCCTGGAGAGGGTTACAGGCGCGTTCGCCTGGGGGGTTATGGGCGCACTGACCCGCTACTGAAACAAGCCCTTTTATCCCAATGGTCTAGTGGTTGGGATTCTGAGATGGTATCCAGAGCGAAGGTCTCGGGTTCCAATCCCGGTGTGTGCACTTCGGGCATCCCAGTGCCGGGGGGTGTCAGAGGTCCACTGGTGATCCCCGATTGATCCTGGAGAGGGTTACAGGTGCGTTCGCCTGGGGGGTTATGGGCGCACTGACCCGCTACTGAAACAAGCCCTTTTATCCCAATGGTCTAGTGGTTGGGATTCTGAGACAAACAGGAATTAATCGCCCTCTCTTCAGCTGAAGCAGAATATATCGCACTCTGCTCAGCCACCAAGGAAGGACTGTACCTTCGCGAACGCCTGGAGGAAGCCAAGCTAGCCCAGTTACCAAACTTTACCCTGTTATGCGACAACTAGTCGGCCATTCGCATAGCCAACAAGAACGGCTTCGCGAACAGGACGAAACACATCGCCCTGCGATACTTCTTCGTGAAGGACGAAATCGAGAAGGGGAGACTCGAACTGTCATACTGGCCCATGTCCGAGATGGCAGCTGACTACTTGACCAAGAAGCTCGAGAAACAGAAGTTCGAGTACTGCATGCTGCTGACTGGACAGAGCCACGTCACCAGCAGCGACACTCCAGAAGCGAAGGGGAGTGTTGGAAACAATTGAACTAAGCGCCTCTGTCGTGTCGAAACACCAAGACACAAGCGAAGCAAGACATTATCGAAGCACCAGCGAGTCAACCCTCGGAGGTTGAAGTAACTGTCGGAGGTTACGCGACAGTCGAAGGTCAGCGACCTTTGACCTGACAAATACAGCGCGACAGCAAGGACACACAACTGACTCGTTACAGAGCAGTTGCCCGAGTCGTCACTGTATCGAACCGCAACAGCAACAGTGTATAATCATAACAGTGTCTTTTCATATTCCCTGTATTCATATACAATCTTGTATCTCTTTGCCTTAATAAATCAACTTTGCCCTCACATACTAGCGCAAGGTGGTTCACAACTCTTCATTAAACGCTTTCGCTACTTCATCAGTTATACCCAGAGTTCACCCCTGTGAAGATCCTAAGGGCTATTTTTTCTCAGCCCAACATAGGGTACATACCGTATTCTCCCGGACATAACACCCTAGGGTATAGCTAAAAATACAGGGAAAAAATGGGGGGGGTCTCCTCATAGGAAAAAAATACATAATACCCGGGTCTTTACATATGGCATATTTTAGTGTTAGTGTTTTTTTAATGAGTCAATGTGGGTGTTTTGCTGGTCGTTTTAGCATCACTGCCTGAGGCGCGAATGTGAGTTTCGGCCTCGAACTTCATCGCCCCCACGAAAATGGCATGTGGCACCTCTCTTGCCACTTGCAACGGAAGATTCACCTGCACGTGGCGACAGAGAAATAGTGGGAGGGGCAAATCTCGGCAGATTGCCTTTGAATGTACCGCGAAATTTCATCGAGGGAGAAATTCACACGATATTCTTCCGTATTGCAGCTACTCGTTAACGACTATAATAATGAATCCGTAAGAAAAGGGGGGTGTTATAGAAAATCAGCCAAAAAGGGGGGTATAGTAGAAACGAGGTCTATCATAACACCCACCCCGCACAAGCTACCCGGGGGTGTACAATTATGGGGGGGTGTTTTGTCCGGGAGTATACGGTACTATGGTGTCAGTGCATTAACCAGCCTGGTGGTGAGTGGATATAGGCATGGTTTCTGAAACAGCCGAATGCCAGTGAGCAAGCTCTGCAGCGGAAATTGGCTTGCAATTGCTCCGTTTGCAACATACATAGCTCTTGTGTTGGAAACAATGGAACTTAAACGCTTCAGCAGTGTCAAAACATTGCACCAGAAGCGAGGCAACCTACACCGAAGCACCTGCGAGTCAACCCTCGGAGGTTGAATCGGCTGCAGGAAGTTACGCGAAAGTCAAAGGTCGCTGACCCTTGACCTGACAAGAACAGCGCGACAGTTAAGGACACACAACTGACTCGTTACAGAGCAGTTGCCCGAGTCGCACTGTATCGAACCGCAACAGCAACAGTAAAAGTAGTTATAACCGTATGTCTTCATATTCCCTGTATTATTATATAAGCTTGTATCCTTTCAATATAATTTAATCTACTTTGCTCTCACACACTAGTGCAAGGTCGGTTCACAAAACTTCATTAAACGCTTCCGCTATTACAAAGTATCCTACCCAGAGTTATCCTCTGTAAAGATCCTTAGGGCCTTTTTCAGCCCAACATCTTGAAGGACAAAGAAACAAATATATTTTAATTCACTGAGAAGTTGTTTCTATCAGTCTTGGCGCACTTTGAACGGTGGCAGGTATGATGTGATGATCGCAAAAACCATGAATAGTACCCACTGTATTAAGAACCACCCACAACAGGGAAAACACCAGAGCACCAGGGAAAGCACCCAGTGGATTTGCTCAGTGCAGCCAGCCCAGCAGAGAAAAAGACATGGCAATATGGTACGCAGAAAGCAAGGATGGATTGACAAACTGGTTCGGCAAGAAGCACAGAGCAGAAGGCGTGAAGAGTGGGAGGGAAGGGCGTGCTAGGGATACAATTGGCACTGATTGCAGGCTTACAAGAATGGGCAGGGTGAGAAAGCCCCAGACGGGCCAGAAGGCAATGGAGCACCTGCATCAAGGCAAGATGGAATGCAACAAGGTGAGATCAACGCAACAAGGCAAGGCACCAAAGACTCAAACCGCTGTTCTCAACCCTCACACTTGAGCACTGGCATGGCATGCTATCGGTGAGAGTTCTCATAATAAATCTCTCCCCTTTCTGCAACAGCCCTTCTGCCCTGCATGGCATGCCCCCTCCATGCTCATCCCATGGGCCCTCACCACCAACACGACCTGGAAAGCTCTCCATAAACGGTTCCTGAGAATCAGCAAAGCAGGGTACTTACAGGATGTAAGCCGCGAGTCCCACAGCCGTGGCCGCAGCCACGGCGCCTGGCGCAGACTGGTGGTAGGAGCGCGTGTCGCGGCGGAAGAGGCGCAGGAAGACCGCGGCGTAGAGGTAGATGCCGATGTTCACCGCTGCGCACGCTGCTGCCGCCTGTAGCGGCAGCCTGTCTGCCGAGGAGCGTGGGATGTGACACAAGCGAGGGGTGTTTCAGGTCCGCCGACGTGGCAGGAGGAAGACGATGGGACGGCTATTCGCGCTATGAGAAGACGATGCGCCACAAAGAAACGAGGCCACGGTAACAGTCATGAAGTGATGGACCATGAGAGGTTGACACGCAATCTGATCAGCGAGCGATCAGCTAATGCAAATACACCACAAGATGTTCTGTTTTTCCGTCAAAATACAGCTGACAATCGAACGCGTGACTGATGAAGGGACTGACTGATAACTGGACGCGTGATTCTGACAGACCATCGGATGCGCGGGTCGCGGAAGAGCACGTCTAGAAAGTGCACGGAGCCATCGCCGAGGTAGAGAACCACGCAGCCCAGCAGCAGGTAAATCGCGTTCTCCACCCACGTCCGCTTCCTACCCTTGAACTGCCGCCGCGCCTGCTGCTGCGACTGCTGCTCGTGCGATGTCGAAAAGGCGTTTTGCGACTGCTGGCCGTCTATTTCTATCGCCTGTGACTGCCGGTTGCCGTCGCCGGTTGCGCTGTAAGGTGCAGCGCGCTGAGTGGCAGCGGAAGCCATAGTGGAAGACAAGCACGAGCGGTTCTAGTGGATTCAAGCTAAATCGGTGAGCTATGATGAGGCGTGAAGTCCAAGAAAAGGCTGAACAGCTTTTATTGCCTGCTCGAGGCTTGAGCCAAGACGAGCTAGAATATCCTTGTTAATCTGTGCCTCGGTAAGAATGTAGCACATATTAATTATAAACTACCAAGTATTTCCAAAATACGGTCAATCATTGAACAGTCCAGCCAGAACCCCAAAGCAGCACCCTCAATTGTGTCAGGCCCGCCGCGCACGCGCGCTTTTTGCAAACTTCTGGATCCTCCTACCCAGCGCCACCCAATTGCGCCTTACTTCATCGCGGAGTATTCCATCCCGCCCCTTTCCAACCCTCCAAGGCCCTTCATTGTTTCCAGTTCCGCGTTTCCCCGTCTTCCCCTTCCCCCACCCCCCCTCGCTCCTCTCACCTTTCCCCATTACTTCCCCTCCCCACTCCCTCACCTTGCGTGCTCACCATTGCCAATATCCTCCGTGCCACACGGACGGAATCTCAGCGCTGTGAGTCGGCTGTCTGTGCAACCGACGCATCCGATCCAGGGAGCATCTATCGCACGATCTTCGCTGCGTGGTTTCGCTTCGCCTCCTAACCCCTGTTCTTAAATCCACCGACGAATAGTCGCTCGCGGAGTCAATGGGGGAGCCCGATTCATGGGAGGACATCGCGGGCCAGCAGCAGCCGCCGCCGCCAGGCGGCGCGGGCGGATATTACAACGCGCCGCCCGGCGCTGCCGGCGGAGCCCTCAACGTGAACGCGGCGGCGTTCGCTTTTAACCCGACGGCGGGCACGTTCGTGCCTAACTACGGAGGCCAGCCTGCTCCCGGTGGTGCTCCTGGCGCGTACGGCTACAACCAAGGCGGGTACGGTTACAACCCGCAAGCGGCGTACGGTTACAACCAAGGCGGTTATGGTTACAACCAAGGGGGTTACGGTTACAACCAACAGCAGTACGGCGGTGGATATCAGCAGCAGCAGTACGGCGGAGGAGGATATCAGCAGCAGCAGCAGCAGCAGTATGGGGGAAGGGGGGGACGGGGAGGTGGCGGAGGGCGGGGAGGCGGAGGATACGGCGGGGGACGAGGCGGCGGAGGCGTAGCGGCCGCGCAGCCTCCCCAGCAGCAGCAGTATGCGCAACCGGCACAGCCTCAGCAGCAGCAACCGTCAGGACCGGCTGTTACTAAAACCCTCGGCGGTCCCGCGTCGTCTGGCCCTGCAGTCTCGAAAATCCTTGGCGGTCCCGCAGTCACCAAATCCCTCGGCGGACCCTCCGTGCAAAAGGTAATGGTAACCACCTCGCAGAATTTCGCTAGGATCGCTCTAACCTAATTTCGCGATTGCACGATTCGTCACGTCTTCGCCGTGAACCTTTCGCCGTCTCGCAGCTGCATCTGATCGGCTGTTACAGACGATCCTTTGCCGTCCTACTCATATCCCCGTGTCGTTCCTCGGATCCGCGATCACAACTAGCCCGCCGCTTTCCGCCTCCCCTTGTCTTTGCTTCCGCCCCCCCGCGTGTCTCCGCCAGGTTCTCGGAGCTCCTGCACCCGCTGCGGCCCCCGCTCCAGCAGCGGCGGAACCTGCTCCGCCCGTCGCAGTCGCTGCTCCGCCCGCGGCGGAGGAGGAGAAGCCCGCGGAAGCGGAAGCGGAAGGGAAAGTGGAGAGCGGAGCGGAAACCCCAGCGGAAAGCGACGGAGCAGGTAATTGCGAGCGTGGTGCTACCTCAGCGAGGCGTGGACTGGGGGAGATACGTGCTAAGCTGGGCTGAGCTGGGCTAACCTGGGTGGTGCAATGTGCTGTCTGCCACTCGGTTACGTCACGTACCTAGCACTAGCCGCCAACTTTGTCGAACCGCAGGCTCCCACATGGAATACTTGTCTGCTCCGTCGCGCGTTTTTGGTCCATTTTTTCGCCCTGTCCTTCCTCTTCTTTCGTCCCGTCTCCCTCCCCGTTCCGCTCTCACGCGGCTTTCCTCCTCCGCGCCCCATTCCCCGCACGCCGTCGTCACACCCCATCCACCGCTCCCGGCATGCTGTGGACGCGGCAGCAGCAGCGGTGGCAGCCGTGGGCATTAAGAAGGTCGATAACGACGACGCACCTCATTCCCTTCGCCCCTTTCACCACGCCCCATTCCCGTACACCCCGTTGTGCCCTCTTCCCATTACGCAGTGGACGCGGCAGCAGCGGCGGTGGAAGCGGTGAGCATCAAGGAGGGCGAAAAGGACGAAGTGCCGCCCGCTGACGAATCAGCAGCATCCGCCAAGGCCGAAGCTGCAGCAGCGGCATCGGCATCAGCAGCACCAGCAGCAGCAGCGGTGGTGGTGGAGGAGGAGGAGGCGGAGGAGGAGTTTGAGATCCCGGAGTCGGAGGACAAGCGCCAGCACCTCAACCTCGTCTTCATCGGCCACGTCGGTATGTGATTGTGTGCGCACACTCCTTCCTTGCGCGCTCAGTGTGTGTGTGCTCAGTCCTTCCGCCCTAAGTCATTCCACCACTTCCTTTTCCCTTCGAAATTAGACTCCTCTTGCCCCCTCAACTCACACTACACGCGCGCGCGCGCCCCGCCCGCCTTGTGCCCTTCACTTGCCAGACGCGGGGAAGTCGACGATCGGAGGGCAGATCCTGTACCTGGCGAACATGGTGGATGAGCGCACCATCCAGAAATACGAGCGCGAGGCCAAAGACAAGAACCGCGAGAGCTGGTGCGCTGGCCGCTGGGGTGATGTGGGGAGAGTGTGCGCTGTCGTGCTGGGGTGAGAGGGCGAGTGGGGAGGGTGGAATGGATAGCGGGGTGGAGGGGTGGGAGGCGAAAGACAAGAACCGCGAGAGCTGGTGCGCTGGGCGCTGGGGTGAGGGGGTTACTGGGGGGTGGTGCGCTGGGATAAGGGGGCGAGTGGGGAGGGTGGACTAGATAGCGGGGCTCAAGGTTGGGAGGCGAAAGACAAGAACCGCGAGAGCTGGTGCGCTGGGAATGGTTGGCAGGATGGGGTGGGGGGTTATGAGGAGGAGAGAGGGAGGTTGGGGTGAGAGCCCAGGAGGAGGATGAAGTTGAACGTCCATTATAATGGAATGACTCGTTTCCCTCCTCGTTGTGACGCCTCATAATAGTGTGGGGCATGCGTGTGTGCGTGTTTCTGTGTGTGCGTGCGTGTGTGCGTGTTTCTGTGCGTGCGTGTGTGCGTGCTTCTGTGCGTGCATGTGTGCGTTTGCGTGTGCGTGTGTGGCAGGTGCATGTGTGTGTGACCGCATGCATGGTGTGTATGCATGGCATGGTATGCGTGCATGGTGTGCATGTGTGTGCATGCATGGTGAGCATGTGTGTGCGTGCATGGTGTGCATGTGTGTGCGTGCATGTGAGCATGGCAGGTACATGGCATACATCATGGACACCAACGAGGAGGAGCGAGCCAAGGTAGGTGCTGGGGTGCTCTGGGGTGCCCTGGGGTGTTCTGGTGTGCACTGGGGTGCTCTGGGGTGTCTGGGTGTGGGGTCGTGAATGTGGTTGCTCGTTTTCCTTAAACCACTGCATGTTGAACTCTAATAGCCCTGGCTCTCTTCTTCACGCCAAGGGACACGTGCCCTGCCACAAGTGCTCCACTCACAAAGCGCCTGTCTTCCACTCTTCTGCTCTCCACCTCTCCCTGCTGCTCTCCCTGCTGCTCTCCCTGCTGCTCTCTCGTGCTGCTCTCTCGTGCTGCTCTCTCGTGCTGCTCTCTCGTGCTGCTCTCTCGTGCTGCTCTCTCCTCTCCCCACGGCAGGGCAAGACAGTGGAGGTCGGGCGGGCGCACTTTGAGACGGAGAAGAAGCGATACACCATCCTCGATGCGCCTGTGAGTTCCCATCCCATCCTGGATGAGCCTGTATAGATATTTTAAAAAAGCTTTGCAGAATGGTGCCGTGCTGCGTTAGTGTTTAAGGCTACTGTCTATTCGTTGGCCATCGCGACCGTTTTCATTCACATCTTTTTCTTTTGATCTGCACTGCCGTTCTCTCCCTGTCTGCCTCCTCGCTTTCATTCACCCAGGGTCACAAGAACTATGTGCCGAATATGATCAGCGGCGCCTCTCAGGCCGACGTGGGGGTGCTGGTGATAGCGGCGCGCAAGTGCTGATGCGGACCGGCAGCAGCGCATTCAAGATATCCCTCTCATCCTATCCTATCCTTCCCTGTTCCAACTCCCCCAGGGCCACAAAAACTATGTGCCAAACATGATCAGCGGCGCCTCTCAGGCGGACGTGGGCGTGCTGGTGATAGCGGCGCGCAAGGGCGAGTTTGAGACGGGCTTTGAGCGTGGAGGGCAGACGCGCGAGCACGCGCAGCTCGCCAAGACGCTCGGCGTGTCGAAGCTGGTGGTGGTGGTGAACAAGATGGACGACCCGTCCGTGCACTGGAGCCAGGAGCGGTGAGAGATGGGTGGCATGGTGTACTGGAGTGGGAAGGGTGGGGGAAAGGGGACTGACCCAGGGAGGCATGGGTGTAATGGAGTGAGGCGTGAAGCTGCTGGTGGTGAACAAGATGGACGAACCTTCCGTGCTGTGGAGCCAGGAGCGGTGAGTGAGGAAGGGGGGGGGGGCGTGGGGGTATATAGGGGCAAAGGGAGGGCCGAGGATGCTTGTCGAAGCTGGTGGTGGTGGTGAACAAGATGGACGACCTGTCCGTGCACTGGAGCCAGGAGCGGTGAGAGATGGGTGGGGAGAGGGTGGTTTGGGAGAGGGGAGAGGGGAGGGGGGAATGACACAGGGAGGCATGAGCGTGACGAGGTGTGAAGCTGGTGGTGGTGGTGAACAAGATGGACGACCCGTCCGTGCAGTGGAGCCAGGTGCGGTGAGGGGAGGGGGGGGAAAGGGGAAGGGGAGGGAGGAGAGGTGAGAATTTGGGAGAGGATGGGAGTATATAGGGGCAATCGGGGGGGCGTGGATGGGTGAAGCTGGTGGTGGTGGTGACCAGGATGGACGACTTTCCATGCAGTGGAGTGAAGCAAGCAGAGAAAGAGGGATGGCTGCCACCCTTACCTGCCCTTCATGCCCGTCTCGTTTTTCACTTCGCTGCCCTCTCTCCCTCTTCCCCCCTGCACTTCCTCTCGTCCCCTCCACCGCCTCTCCCTCCTCTCCCTGCTCCTTCCTCCAGCTCCCTTCACCTGCTCCGTCTTCTTGCCCTGCGCTCATTCCTCGTCCCTCTCCCCCCCCACCGCACTGCCATCATGGCAGGTACGACGAGATAGTCACCAAGCTCACGCCCTTCCTCAAGCAGTGCGGCTACAACACCAAGAAAGGTACGTCCCGGCGCGATTGCGAAAAAAAAAAAAAAAAAAAAAAAAAAAAACTTTTTTTTGATTTGATCCCTTTCTCTGGATATGAAAAAGGCGGAGGGGAGGAAGTTGGTGTGTGTGTGTGCAATGATTCTTTCCCACTCCACTCTTGCCTCACCTGTGCATATCACAAGTATTCTCACCCCCCCCCTTCTCCCTCGTACCCTTCCCCGCGCTCTCCCTTCTATTCCCCAACCAGACGTGCAGTACCTGCCGACATCGGGCATCCAGGGCGCCAACATGAAGGAGCGACCCGCACTCTCATCTCCCCTCCCTCTTCCCCCCAACCGCTCTTCCCCCCATGCTTGCAGACGTGCAGTACCTACCCATATCGGGCATTCAGGGCGCCAACATGAAGGATCGGTTGAAGAAGGAGGTGTGCCCGTGGTACGACGGGCCGTGCTTCTTTGAAGTGCTCGATGCCCTTGCCCCGCCCGACCGCGACCCCAAGGGCCCCGTCAGGTGCGTACCTTGGTTCTCATCATTGGCATGGCATGTAAATGGCTGGAGCCGAGCCGGTGGTAGGCACCGCGGGTGGGCAAGGACGTGTGTGCCACGCACCACGCAGGTAAAGAAGGGCGTATGGTGTGTCGTGGCGTGGTATGACAGGACGGGCCGTGCTTCTTTGAAGTGCTCGACGCCCTCGCCTCGCCTGACCGTGACTCGGAAGGCCTCGTCAGATACGCACCTCATTCTCCGCTAGTACCTCATTCCCTGTCAGTACCACATTTCCCATCGGGTGCATCGCACGTTGGCCCGTCAGGGGAGTCGTAACTCGTTTCGTTTCGTTTCATATGAGCTCTATATGGGCTCGAGCTGAACTGGATCGCCACGAGCAAAGACGAGACTCCCTCTCCTCCCCCGGTCCCCCGTTCTCTTCCCCCTTCTTCCTCCCTCACCAGAATGCCCATCATAGACAAGTATCGAGACATGGGCACGGTGGTGATGGGCAAGGTGGAGAGCGGCTAATGGGTTATGTGCTTATTCCGCTCCCCCCCTTCCCCTCCTCTCTTCCCCCTCTTCCCTTTCCCGTGTGCCTCTCTTTCTGTGCCCACCAGAATGCCCATCATAGACAAGTACAGAGACATGGGAACAGTGGTCATGGGCAAGGTGGAGAGCGGCTGCATCAAGCGAGGCGACACACTCACCGTCATGCCCAATAAGGTAAGCCTTGCCAAATACGGCAAGCCATGCTTAATGAGGTAAGGCAGGCCATGTTGAGTAAGTCAGGTCATATCCAGTTTCAACCATATTCCTTATCATACTACCCTCTCTTGTATCTTGCTTTCCCTTATTCTCCCCCCTCCTCCCCCTCCCCACGGACGGTGGTGAAGGTGGTGACTGTATTCCGTGACAACAACCAGGTCACATTCGCCCTGCCAGGGGAGAACCTCCGGGTGCGCTTCTCTTGTACCTTGCTTGCCCCTTATTTCCCTGCTTTTGTCCCCCCTCTCCGTTCCTTCCACCCCACTTTTCTCCGACCTCCCACAGACGGTGGTCAAGGTGGTGACGATATACCGCGACAACGACGAGGTGACATTCGCCCTGCCAGGGGAGAACCTCCGGGTGCGCCTCACAGGCATCGAGGAGGAGGAGATCTCCGCCGGCTTCGTGCTCTCCTCCCGCAGTCAGTGCCTTCTCCTCTGCTCTCCTCTCTTCCGCTTGTCCCCTCCACCACATCTCGTCAACCCGCCACTTCATTTCGCTGCAATCACCAATGTGGCGCCTTTTGAGAATTCTCAAAGCCCGTAGCATCTCCCTCTTCCCATTTTCAAACCATTGCCTCTCCTCACCCCATTTTCAAACCATTGCCTCTCCTCACCCCATTTTCAAACCATTGCCTCTCCTCACCCCATTTTCAAACCATTGCCTCTCCTCACCCCATTTTCAAACCATTGCCTCTCCTCACCCCATTTTCAAACCATTGCCTCTCCTCACCCCATTTTCAAACCATTGCCTCTCCTCACCCCATTTTCAAACCATTGCCTCTCCTCACCCCATTTTCAAACCATTGCCTCTCCTCACCCCATTTTCAAACCATTGCCTCTCCTCACCCCATTTTCAAACCATTGCCTCTCCTCACCCCATTTTCAAACCATTGCCTCTCCTCACCCCATTTTCAAACCATTGCCTCTCCTCACCCCATTTTCAAACCATTGCCTCTCCTCACCCCATTTTCAAACCATTGCCTCTCCTCACCCCATTTTCAAACCATTGCCTCTCCTCACCCCATTTTCAAACCATTGCCTCTCCTCACCCCATTTTCAAACCATTGCCTCTCCTCACCCCATTTTCAAACCATTGCCTCTCCTCACCCCATTTTCAAACCATTGCCTCTCCTCACCCCATTTTCAAACCATTGCCTCTCCTCACCCCATTTTCAAACCATTGCCTCTCCTCACCCCATTTTCAAACCATTGCCTCTCCTCACCCCATTTTCAAACCATTGCCTCTCCTCACCCCATTTTCAAACCATTGCCTCTCCTCACCCCATTTTCAAACCATTGCCTCTCCTCACCCCATTTTCAAACCATTGCCTCTCCTCACCCCATTTTCAAACCATTGCCTCTCCTCACCCCATTTTCAAACCATTGCCTCTCCTCACCCCATTTTCAAACCATTGCCTCTCCTCACCCCATTTTCAAACCATTGCCTCTCCTCACCCCATTTTCAAACCATTGCCTCTCCTCACCCCATTTTCAAACCATTGCCTCTCCTCACCCCATTTTCAAACCATTGCCTCTCCTCACCCCATTTTCAAACCATTGCCTCTCCTCACCCCATTTTCAAACCATTGCCTCTCCTCACCCCATTTTCAAACCATTGCCTCTCCTCACCCCATTTTCAAACCATTGCCTCTCCTCACCCCATTTTCAAACCATTGCCTCTCCTCACCCCATTTTCAAACCATTGCCTCTCCTCACCCCTACCGCTACCCCACTAGCAGTCCCCTCACTTCTCTTCCCTTTGTGCACCCAGCTCTGCGAGTGATTTCTCAACCATCTCCCCTCCTCTTCCGCTCTGCGAGTGATTTCTCAACCATCTCCCCTCCTCTTCCGCTCTGCGAGTGATTTCTCAACCATCTCCCCTCCTCTTCCGCTCTGCGAGTGATTTCTCAACCATCTCCCCTCCTCTTCCGCTCTCCCTGCGACCATCCCTGCAGAGCGCCCCATTGGAGTGTGCACAGAGTTTGACGCTCAGCTGCAGGTAACCCCCTCGCCTCCCCACCTCGCCTTCCCGTGCTTGTTCCAACCTCATAGCTGCTACAAGTTTGGACGGACTGTGCACAGAGTTTGATGCTCAGCTGCAGGTAACTCTCTTTTTTGGCTTAGCTTTTCGTTGCTGGCACCGAGTCACTTTCTCACCATTCCAATGCACCCATTCGTTGTTGTGATTCGTTGCCCTCCCGTATGCTGGAACCCCTCCCTCCCTCTCCCCTTCCCTCTTCCCTCTTCCCTCTCCCCCTTCTCCCTCTCATCCCTCCCTTTCCCCCTTCTCCATCTGACCCCTCCCTCTCCCCCTCCTTCCCCCCCCCTCTCCCCCACTTGTCTCCTTGCCCGGCAGATCCTGGAGCTTCTGGATCACAAGGCGATCTTCACAGCGGGGTACAAAGCGGTGCTGCATGTGCACAGCGTGGTGGAGGAGTGTGAGATCATCAGCCTGCTGCAGCAGACGGACCTCAAGACCAAGAAGCCCATGAAGAAGAAACCGCTCTTTGTGAAGAGCGGCGCTATCGTGGTTGTGCGCATCCAGGTGTGAATGAGAGAGGGGGTGTGAGGGGTGAGGTGAGGGGGTAAGGAGTAAGCGGTCGAGGGCACCTGAGAGGCATACATGCACGCACACCCACACACGTACACCTTTTCTCATTTGACCTCTGCCTTGCAGCTCCCGTGCTTCATCCCCTCTCTCTCTCTCTCCCATTCTCTGTTCTCCCCCCCATTTTCCCAACCCCACACCTCCACCCACGTACTCCCACCCTCCGGCTCCCACCCCCATTTCCCCACTCCCATCCCTTCCGTTCCATACTCTCCTCCTCTCCCCATCCCCCTTACTCCATCCCCATCTGTGTGGAAAAAAATCCAACTTCCCTCAGCTCTTCCGCCTCACTCTGGTTTTGAGATTTTTTTAACGCACCCCCATCCACCCACCCCCCTTCTCTCTCTATCCAACCCACCCCCACCCCCAGGTGAGCGACCCCATCTGTGTGGAGAAGTTTTCAGACTTCCCTCAGCTCGGCCGCTTCACTTTGCGCGACGAGGGTGAGTGGCCTTTGAGACACACACACACACACACACACACACACACACACACACACACACACACACACACCATTCTCATCCCCGCGCTGCCCTGCCTTGCACACCCAGCGTTGCTGCTTCTTGTTCCCTCCCGTGCATGCAAAATGCCATGCTGTGCATGATGCTGTGTGTGCAAACTGCATTTTCCCACACTGCTCACCCATATCCGCCTCTCACCCCTCTCATGCCCTTCGCTCCCTCGCCTCTCCCCATCTCCCGTTCCTCTCACTCTTCCCCTATCCCCCTCCACGCCACTCCCCCCCGCCAGGCAAGACAGTGGCAATATTCAAGGTCACTCATCTGCGCTCCAGCAGCTCTACCTGACAATCTTCCGCCTCACGTCTTACCACCTCTCTCCCCCTCTTCCTATCCCCCTCTACGCCACTCCCCCCGCCAGGCGAGACAGTGGCAATAGGCAAGGTCACTCACCTGCGCTCCAGCAGCTCTGCCTTAAGCTTTTCCTCCTCACATCTTCCCAACTCCCTGCCCCTCTCCCCATCCCCCTGCCCCGCTCCCCCTCCCCCTGCCAGGCAAGACGGTGGCGATAGGCAAGATCACTCACCTGCGCTCCAGCAGCTCTACCTGACGTTTCCGCCCCTCCTCTCCCTCCACCTCTGCTGCCCTTCCTCGTCTCCCTTGTAAGTCCCGCCATTCTTCCACGCCATACATTTTTCGGGGGTGTTTTTCTCTGTTCTGCCCACGTCTCCCATTCTCTTGCTCGTTGCACGCTTTTCTCCATGATGCTAGCTTCCACGCAGAGTGTGCAGGTAGGTACGAGTCTGACCATTCCTTTGTGTGATCATTCCTTAACATGACCATTTCTTCATGTGACCATGCTGTCTTGTCTCCCCGCACCTCCATTACTTGCAGGCAACGAGTGAACCATTGAATAGACAATGCCCGGTGTGAGTGAATGAATCACCTTGTCGTTTGTTGGCACCACTAGGCCACCCACGTCCACTTTCCACTGTCCTTGCCTCCTGCCTCCTCCCTCCTGCCTCCTGCCTCCTAGGTCCGCCACTGTTGCTGCTTGTGCCTAGCAAATCCATAGCAACACCCACACCCAAGCACTCATCATTCCAAAACACCGTTTGAGGGTTAAGCATGCACATATGATCAGAAAACACGACTACAGGGCACAATATGAGCAGATATTGTGACATTGGTCGCAAACGTGATACTGCAGCAATTGGTCTGCGGGTGTATTATGCACACGTTGTGAGACATTGTTGGTCCTTCAGCACAAGGCTGAACCGAATAGAGTTAGATGTTATTGCTTGAAACAGATTGAAAGTGTCCTCGTCTTACAAATCTGCATGTGTAGACCAGGTCACAGAATAATCTCACATGCTCGTACCATGTAGGGGCTACTTGCTAAGTGTTTCAAACCACCTGAAACTACCTGGCTGCTATTTTCACACCGCCTATTTTATGGTGGCTTGGCATCTCGTAGACAACAAAACATTCAGAGCCTAATAATCAATCAACGGAAGCCCGCCTTTAAGCAGTCATAAAGTGAGAATACACTCACTCGTCTCCGCGGCCCTTCCGCTTCTCAGAAGCCAGCAGCACAGTGCTTACAGTCGGAGATATCCATATCTGCACGTGTATTGCACGATTCTCCATAGGCATCACAGAAATACAGTCGTTGCCCATTTCAAGAACACCAGGTAGACGGACGGCATGTGCTTGTAACGGGTTTGTTATGTTTCGCCACTTTCGCCCTTGTCGCCACGGGCAAAAATGTGACAGTAATATGAAATTGCAACGAGAATCGAGTCAAGGGTTTTAATTTCGTAACCAGGTTAACTTCTCTGATGATGGGCAACCGTTGTTGTTTTTGTGCTGTAGATGTTTTTCTTCCTCAACTTGGTGACTGTACCCCGAGTACAATGGTCAATTTAGTCACTCACAGGCAAAACGTTCGAGAGTGACTAAATTTCTAATTGTGGGGAGCAAATGTTTTGTCATAGGCTGAGCATCGACTGTACTGTACACTTACTGTACCACCTGCCCAACCTTACGGAACCTCCACATACCACCTCGAGCTCATCATTCAGCTCCGCTGTAACGTGCTGATTCCCGCCAGCGCTCCCCTTCCCCTTCCGCTTCCGCCTCAACTCAACCCTCCCAACCGTACCCCATTCCCTTCTTTCTCTTGTTCATTCCGCTGTCTGCTCTGCACAGTCTGTCTGCTCTCACCCGTCGTTTCCTTCGTCCTCGTCCCTGCAATGCAACCATGGACAGTGGCGTCACCTCACTTTCTTAGCTGTGCAGCCAGCTGTTGCTGAAAATATTTTTAAATTCCATTTATGGCCGGCTGTCTGGACCCGTGTATCTCCGAATCACCGCTCTTCGACGGGAGCCACATAGTGTCGTCGAAAGAATCATGCGGTGGCGTCGTCATTACATTACCTGCCGTAGGCTGTGACCTCGAATCTATAACACGAATATCTTCAACGCCAAACTAACGGCCAACAGGTGCACGGCGTCGCACGTGCGTGCATCATGCAATGGCGATCCAACATCGCAACTCGCCAACGTGAGCTATGGCTCATCGATTCTGATGTCGTTTCAGGCGTTCTGTTCCCTTTCCCCATTTACCATACAGGGACTGAGGCGAACGTAAAGATGTCGATGTCACCTACCCGACGCTCTTGAGTCTTGAGCCGATTTTCGTTACTTGTTAATGAATCTTCGCGTCGTTCCCATCCGTCGCGGTCACTGAGACGTTGGAGGAGCTCACCTCGTCTGAGGGCTGATGGGCGATTCGACTCGACACACATCCCTCCCAGCTCGTCCTGTGCCGTTTTAGGAGATCTCCGGAATGAGGAAGCTCTTTATGTTTATCTCGCCCAGCCATGCCGTGTGTTGACCTTGCTAGCCCATTCTGACTCGAAAGTAATTTCCGGAATTCGTGCCTTCACCTCGCCGCCTGCCTTGTCCTCGTCGTCGTCGTCGTACTGCAGTTTAGACTCTCGGTTTTTCTGGAATTCGTGTTTTGAGCGCCACTCTCCGGAATCCGTGTCAGAAGAACAGCACTATCACCCCGGTGCAATGGACGCCACTACTGTTTGCCCCATCCCCGCTATTGACTGGCGCGCTGTTCCCCAAGATGAAATCACCCACTTGGCGCACCAGGGCATGGTTGCGCCTGATGTTTCCGCGGACCACCACATCCACAACGAAAACGAGATGCGCCGCCGCCGTCGCCGCCACCTCCGCCGCATGGCGCGGGAGGCCAACGCGGAGCTGGCGCGCTCCGTGGCGGAGTGGCGCAGGCAGAGCTTCCGCCACCCGGAATCGCAGGCCGTGGTGGTGCTGGCGGCGGAGACTGCGCGCAGCCGCGACTGGTCGGCGGAAGATCACAGTCGCAGCTTCAGCTGTGGCGACCTGGGCGAGTACGGGCCGCCAGACGCCAGCCATGGCGGCTGCAGCGGCCGTTTTGACCCAAACGGCCGCGAAAATAGCTCGGACAGAGATGGCGCTCCGCCGCGGAAGAGCGAACAGGCGTCATGTTCTCCTTCAGGTGCCTCAGGTGTCCCGCCAGGTGCCTCAGCAGGTGTCCTAGCAGGTGGCTCAGCAGGTGCACCACGAGGTGCTCCTGCACGTTCCTCCTCGTCTGGTGCCTCGTGCAAGCCTGGGCATCGCCGTGGGGTGAGCGTGAATGCGCTTCCTGAGCTCTGCCCCTATCCCCCTGTCGATTGGCGCTGGGTACCCTCTCCTGAACCTGCTGCCGCCTCACACTGCGCTGCTGCCGCCGCCTCACACTGTTCTGCTGCTGCCGCCACACGATGCCCTGCTGCTGCCACACGCTACCCTGCTGCCCCCAGTAGCTTCTGCACTGCCCCTCCCAGCGGCGCCACCTCCCCGGCAATCTCCCCCCTCTCGCCTTCCTCTCGTTTCCTCTCCTTCACAACTGCTCTCCAGATTTTTCGCCTTGTCTCCCGACAGCAACCACGCACACCGGGTGCAGAGCTCTAGCCCGGTTACTCTTAGCGAAGACAGTGACACACCAGCAGTTGTCTGCCGATCGCTTACATCCGGCAGTGGAGCCAGCAGTGCGCTCAATAACAGTGCCTATGGCACCAGCAGTACTGATAAGGCCGTGAAAACGAGCACTGACATTAACCAGAGCACTAGCTCTGTTGCCACAGCCGCAGCAGCAGGGGCAGCAGCAAGGGGAGAAGGGGCTGTGCAAGCCTTAACCAGTGTTGTCCACAAGATTGGGGAAGCTGGGAGGGGAGCTGGAGGGCAGGAGGCAGGTGCCGTGGGGAAGAAGCAAAGGAACGGGTCGTTGCATGGAGCAAGGGCTCGGTGGTTGCCGCCTGTCTCCGCTGCCCTTCATAGATGCTTTTCCTAAGGTCAATGACTCACACAACACTGCTTTTGATCTGCTCAGGGAGTTCTGTACTAGTACCAGTACCCCTGCCAGAAATGTTGTACTGAATTGGAAGTGCATTGCATTGAATGCATGACTTGATAGCTTTGATTTGTAGGATGAACCAGTGATGACGCCAACTGATTTTGACTTGTACAGAAGCATTTTTTTGCATGTTGGTTATGCGCTAATCTGCGTATGGTATGCTATGGTACTACAGTAGCGCACTTCAAACTACCGGTATGTTTTCTTCTCTTCAACCAGCATTGGCTTTTCTAAGTTCCATGGACTTGAATCGATCATTATGAGGCTCAAATACACCCGAAGATACAGAGTCAGGTCTTCAAAGGCTACTGCATTACCATTGTCAGCTGGTCATTGCCCAGACACCTAAATTGTTCGTAGGCAAGCTTAGCAGCAAATGGAACAGAAAAGCAAGCAAGCCATGGCTCCACCTAGCACGACACGCCGCATTGCTGCAGGTTATCGCTTGGGTTGGGCTCCGTAGAAGAGAAGGGGTCAATCTTAACCCAGAGCAGCGAGAAGATGGACGCGAGCAGCACCGACCACACAATGACAATCGTGGGAATCGCCTGGTTGCGCCCGCCCAAACCCTTCATGAAGGGATACAGATGCATGATGACCCAGAAGGAGAAGAAAAGCCTGCCAAACAGCGGGCCCCAGTTGCCATCGCCCGTGTTCATGGCCGTCGCCACGCCGCAGACAATCCCAAGGAAGTTGATGATGAGCAGGAAGAGCGGCGGGATGAGCAGAGAAGTCCACTTGAACAGATAAAGCTCTGCAAACTCCCCATCTTCCGCCTGCTTCGCCGTGACCGTGAAGTTGGTGTCGATACCGGCGAGGACCTTCAGCAGGCCCTGGAACACGGCGAAGAGATGCGCCGACACGCCTCCAATCACCCAGAACTGCTCATTGCGCCACCAGTCCGTCATGCCCACGCCGCTCCACCGCATCTCCAGCAGACCCGTGGCGAAAATGGTCATGAAGAGAGCGATAAAGTAGAGCGTGGAAGTGGTGTCCAGCGCGGGAACAATGAACTTGTTTGTGAACAGGCAGATGGCGGGAATGGTGCAGTAGACTAGCAGCGGGAAGGACGTAAACGGGTACACCACAGTGTTGGTGTACGACAGCCGCTGCAGAACTTTGAGGTTGTTGCCCTTCCAGCCGTACCAGATGGGGCAATGGCGCGAGAGGAAGATTTCCACTGAGCCCAGAGCCCAGCGAAGCACCTGCTGCAGACGGTCGGACAGATTGATGGGCGCGCCTCCCTTGAAGGTGGGGCGCTTGGGCTTGCAGTAGATGGAGCGCCATCCGCGGGAGTGCATCTTAAAGCCCGTGAGAATATCCTCTGTGACTGACCCGTAGATCCAGCCAAGCTGCAGGGAGGGAGAGCAAGGGACGAGAAGAGGAAGAGAGGGACGGTTGATGAGGAGGGAGACAATGCGCTTTTGGAAGAGAGAGCAAAGCATAAGTGTTAAAACCAGGGAGAAAGAGAAGTGAGAGAGCGTCAACAGCAGCAGAAGCAGCACGGACGCACCTCCTTGCCCCACTCGGTCTTCTCCTCATAGCCGCACGAGATGACGTGAATGGCCTCCTTGAGCGTCGACCCCGGGCTGGCGGACGCCACTCCGCCGCCATCCTCGTGGAACGTGGAGAGCACAAACACGGGCGACTGCCCGAACTTCTTCTCAAACTTCTTCAGCGCCACCAGGCTGTCGCCCTCGCCCACTGTCATCAAGGGAGGAGGGAGGGACACAACGGACAGAGTGAGGCCCTAGCGAGGGAAGGGAAGGGCAGGGAGAATGGCCTAACAGGAGAGAAGCCACATGCCATGGCAGGAGAGAGTAGGACTTTCATGGATGGGGCGAAGGAGGGGCAAGGATGAAATCGATGAGAGCACAGCATCCACGTCAGCGTACCTTCCTCGCCGTCGTACAGCGGAAGCGTCCCCTCGTCCTCGTCGCCCTTGCGCCCCTTGCGCCCGCCCTTCTCCCCGCGCCCGCCGCCGCCGCAGCAGGAGAAGCAGGAGCAGAGCACGCCGCACTTGTTGCGCTTGTTCTTGGGCTTGGGCGGATCGTACCCGTACAGCGCGCGCCGGCGGAAGCAGCATCCGGTACCCACGTAGCACGGCCCCTGAATGCCATCCAGCCCGGGCAGATTGATCTGCGTAGGGGGAAGGGGAGAGGGATTGGGCCAGGAGAGGTTGGGTAAGAGGCAGAGGTGACGGTTCAGGGTGGGTAGCAGGTGACGAGTGGAGAGTCGGTAAGGCATGGGATGTGGAGAGCGTCACGAAACAGTCTTGAAACGCTTCAACACCAATGTAGCGCTTCTTTCAGAGGCGGGCGCGAGGCTTACATCGAAGAAGACGGTGTTGTTGTTGGCGTATCGATCGTTGGGATCAATGCCGTCGAATCGCTGCGGGAACTGCACGTAGCAGCACTTCTTGCCGACGTTGGGGTCCATCATGAAGCACATGGCCTCGCGCAGCGCCTTGCTGTCCGCGATGTAGTGATCGCAATCCAGATTCAGCATGTACGGCGCGTTCGTCAACACGGCTGACACGCGGATCTGCATGCGTGAAAGGGAGGTCGGGGAAGGAGGGGGGGAGGGAGAGCGGTTGGAGTGAGCCAAAGGGGATGCGTTGTTATCCGCGATGTAGTGATCGCAATCCAGATTCAGCATGTACGGCGCGTTCGTCAGGACGGCTGACACACGGATCTGCGGGTGAGCGTTTGTGGAGGATTGGGGGAGGTGCGGGGGTGAAGTGAGTGGAAAAGACCAGCGCGCAAGCGAGGAGCGAAGATCAAATCAAGTGCGTGGGCGACGCATGGGGGGAGACACGAGACACAAGGACAAGGACAAGGACAAGGACAAGCGAGCGGGCAAGGACCTTCGGCTCGGACCAGGCAATATCTCACCAGGGAGTTCATGGCACCGGCCTTCTTGTGGTGGTTGTATCCGGGGCGCTTCTCACGGCTGACGTACACGAGGCGCGGCAGCATGTTGCCCTCCACGTCCGTACCGCCGCTGGGGCCGAGGAACACCTGGATCATGCCCGGGTGGTCGCGCGACTTGTTGCCGGGCCACGGCGTGCCGTCCTGCATCGTCCAGCCCTCGTCGGGCACCTTCTGCGACTTGGCCACCAGCATGTTGATCCGGATCTTGAACTCCTCGTACTCGCGCTGCACGCACACGGGGAATGAGACGGGCGCACTCGAAATAAGACAGGCGTACGCTTGTGAAGAGACGCGTGTGAGCGGACGCAGCGAGGCACAAGGTCAACACGGACGCAGCGAGGCACAAGGTCAACACGGACGCAGCGAGGCACAAGGTCAACACGGACGCAGCGAGGCACAAGGTCAACACGGACGCAGCGAGGCACAAGGTCAACACGGACGCAGCGAGGCACAAGGTCAACACGGACGCAGCGAGGCACAAGGTCAACACGGACGCAGCGAGGCACAAGGTCAACTGAACAACGATTTCGCCCATGCTCTTGCTCCCCGTCTCGTCCCACACGCTTTTTCCCCTTCTTCCATACCCCGACCTCCCTACCCATCCTCGCTCCTCGTCTCTCGCTCGTCGCTCTGTGCGTACCTTGATGGCGCGGCGGTCCTTGACGAATTGCGGGTCGACCTTGTCCTTCAGGTAGTCCACCTTCTGCGTGAAGTACATCTCGGGGCACCGCGGCTCGATCTTGTAACGCTTCGCGAACGGCACCCAGCGCCTCGCGAATTCGCTGCACTCGCTCATCGAGTCGAACGTCAGCATGGCGCCACCATCGTCGTGCACGTAGCAGGACACCTTCTCCGTCGGGTAATCAACGGACAGGATCGAAAGCAGCGTGTTCGCCGTCGTAATCGGCGGCTCCTTGGCCGGATCCACCGTTGACACGAACAGATCGACGGCCGCGAGCTGCGACGGCTCGCCGCGCCGCTCATAGCGAAGCGCGAGCCGGTCGAGATACGTCTCTCTCTTGATGGGCATCCACTTGGGGAACTGATCGAGAATCCAGGAGAAGGCGAACCAGACCTCGCAGATGACGGACATGAGCCACAGCCACCACGCGCCATCCACGGGGTTCAGGCACCGCCAGCGCAGGAAGAATGCGAGCACGAACAGCCGAATGATGATGATCAGCCGGTACGGGGAGATCAGCGACGACGGGTAGTGCACCTTCCGCGAAAGCGGCTGGCGCGACTCGTCCATGTTGGGCAGGTCGGCCGTGTCCATGGGGTCCGGGCCGGGGACGGGCGGCGCGGGCGGCGCGCCGTTCATGCCCATGCCGCCCATGGGCCCGCCGCGGCCCTGCTGCTGCTTCCACGCCTCGAGGCGATCCTTCCACACCACGCTGCCGTACCCGTAGTCGCCCAGGTCCTTGCTCGGGTCCAGCGCGCGCACGTCCACTACGGGGGAACGCGGGGGGAGAGCGGGGGAAAGGGGGACGCGGACGGGAACCGGGCGGTGGTAAGATTGCGGGAACGCGGAAAGGGGGAACGTGCGCACGGGGGGAGAGAAGACGACGACGATGATGAGTGGCGGAGACAAGGGAGTCGATGGGTATTTACTTGAAGAACGCTGCATGCGTACGGAAGCAGGGTAGCGATTGGAGCGGGAAAGGGAGCGAAGGGGTGGGGAGGAGTTGAGGCTTACTGGACATGTCGCCGGCGTTGCTCTGCGAGTAGTTGTACGCCTGGTTGGGGAGCGCGGAGGCGGGGACCATGGCGCCCGCGTTGTTGTAATCTGACGACATGCTCATATCGGGGTCCACCTGCCCTGACGTCAGCATGGGGTAGTGCGATCCGACGTGGTACGAGTCGTACGCGTTAGAACCATCCGGGTGCATCTGCTGCTGGCCCTGGTGCTGAGGATCCCCGTGCTGCTGCGACATGCCGCGACGGGTGCCATCATCCCGACCGCTGCTGTTCTCCGAGATGCCGAATTCCTGTTCCACGTCATCC